TACTAGTGAAAGTTGATTTGATTATACATCGCATATCTACATTATAATTTTGTATGAACCCAAATAACTCAAATATAGGAGTTAAACAGGAATAGAACAGGTTTAAAGCAAAAACAGCATTAATGTACTCTCTTTACTCCGGAAGAGGATTCCCATTGTATCAAAATGCAGATGAACTTTCAATACCTTTTCCCATATTAACATTTTCACCATCCTTCAGTTATATTTTTCTGGAATGACTAAGTAGAAGAAAAATCTAACCATCATAGGCAAAAATCCCCGTGTAATTCATGAATTCTACAGGAGTTCGAATTACCACAATTTCATATGGCATTGCACACTAGCAATAGAATGGAAAATGAGTAATAGTGAAGATGAAAATGGAATTATACTTGTCAGTGAAGCAAATCTTATCTTCAAACTAAAATACCTGAAAAGCTGCTAATCAAATACATCAAGACAACGAAAACTAAGCTCCTTTGAAGAGCCAATGCAAAATCAAAATTGAAAACATTCTATCTGACAAAACAGTGAAGAGAGAGAAGAAACGAACTCTAGCAAGGAAGGGAAAAGAAGGCGCCGATGGTGGAGGTGACGAAGAAGAGAATCGGCAAGATGAGAAGGCATCCGCTCGAGGGTCCTTCTTTGCCTCCTCCATTTCTCCACACATTCTATGCTTCTGCAAGCTTCATGTATGCAGAGGCGAACCAACCTGTTCTCTGTCTCGATTTCCATTCTCCTTGGTTGATGGCCTCCTGCTTCTCTTTCCCAAGGAGTTTGACTCAGATCGTTTCTTCCTCCCTCGCTTCTGATTTTGATCCCTAACTAGAATCCGAATTATAAACAAGCAAATATACATATTTCATATCAGAAAAAAGTATCACTTCCTCTTTGCTAGTACTGTAAATGTATTTTTGAATATTTTAATATTATAACAAAATAAAACTCTTTTTTTGATAATTTTAAATAAAATAAGAATTTTATTATTATAACTGCAGTAAAATAAATAATATTTTTATTATTTATAAGAATTGATTGTAACATTTTATTTTTTTATTATGAATATTTTTACTGGTTTCAATAAGTAAAATAACAATAAATCTAAATATTTATGATTTTGATCCCCTTCATGGTTCTCATTTCTTTTGTTGTTTACCTCAAAATATCCGGGGGGTAAAAGATGCTAATTAGGGCCAGTTTCATTTGTATCCGAATTAATTATCCTATAAAATATAATATAAGTTTATAATTTTTATTTTTTGAACCGTTATTTGATCCGGACATTATGTTATATTAATGTTAATAAATTTGTCATTATATTTATAATTATATATGTTTATATTTATATTTATATTTATATATATATCATATTGGATTTAGAAGAATTTTGGTAAGCTAGACTTAAATATGCTCACCTTGTTCTTATTTATCAAGACTTGGATAAAATTCAACTAATTAAGTTAATGTATGTGACTCATTAGGTTTAATCATTTAACTAATGATAAGTTTGTTAATTGATATTTTGATTTATAAGATAACTACAAAAGTTATATTAATAATTATATTAAGACGTTAAAAAATGAGTTATAAATAGCGATGTAACATGCCCCTTAGAAGAAAACAAATTTATTT